CCTTTGTGGTGCCGAGTCGGGGAGCGCGTACCGCACACACTCAGGCCCTCAGGTTTAACAGGCTTTCCTGTAACACTGAGTGGGGATCCGGACCTCCTGCTTGAGTTAGGACCTATGTCTAAGAGGAGGAGACCTTGAGACAAAAGCCAATAGGTTGAAAGTTCTTGGACAGGGTTGAGATGTTTTTGCTCTTCCTTGTCATGGTTACTTTCCATGGCGAGTGAAAAGGTTTTACGCTTCAGTGTAATGTCAAGGTGGTATCTGGCTCACTGGGTCTGGAACTGTGGGCAAAACTCCACGTAATAATATAGATTAGGGCCCGGATTTAGGTCAGTGGTTCTGCTGCCTGCCTCGCAAGCACAAGGTCCTGAGTTTGATCGCTGGTAACCCCCCCAAAGTCATTAATAATATAGATTAGTGTTGATAAATACGAGGTAATTATGAAGAATTTAGGCAAAAAAAAATGTGGTGGTATTTTCCATCCCATTTCTTGGGCTTTCCTACTTTGTGTTTTTTTAAGGCTTCTCTCTTTTTTTTTTTTTGGTAATGGGGATTGAACCAGGACCTTGCCTGCGAGGCAGGTGGCAGAACTACTGAGCTAAATCCCCGGCCCAAGGCTTCTCTTTTTTTTGAGACAGGGTCTTGTTACACAGTTCAGGCTGGGCTCAAACTCAGGGCGGCCCTCCTGCCTCAGACCCCTGAGTGTTGGGACTACAGGTATGTGGCAGCGTTCTCCGTCTTTCTGAGCCTTCTTTGGAACTTACCCAATTGATTTTGTTTTGGGGGCATGAGTTGTAGGTCAGGAGCTTTGATCTTTTCTGCACATAAAAGGTACATGAGGGCTTCAAGTTTCATTCTTCAGTCTGTACCAAAGCATAAAAACAGCTAAAGCTTAAGAGTGCAGGCTTGTTTCAAAACAACCCTTAGTTGCATTGCCTTAGGAAGGAAAGAGTCCCACTAGATGTAAAGACTTTTAAGATACTCTTTTATTTTTAAAGTCTATAAATAATGTATCTCCAGTTTTTAGTGCTTTAACCCCTGTTTCTAAAAGGCCTTGGTTTTAATTTATAATCATTAATCTTTCCTTCACTCAAGATACGATCCTTTTCCTCCTTAAAAGTATTGTTCAATTATGGTAAAGTTCAAATGTAGGAAATGGTTCAGAGGCGAAGATAACAAGCAGCTGTGAAAGCCACCATCTGGAGCTGTGAACATGAACGTTTTGCCATGTTTGCTTGAGAATGTTTTTCTTTTTTCTTTTTCTGGTACTGGGAATCGAATTCAGGACCTTGCACTTGTGAGGTAGGTGTGATGCTACTGAGCTAAACCCTGGCCCCCTCGAAGCTTATTTTAAAGGCTTTGGATTTTTATTTGAGTTAGGCAGGAAGTTGCTGGATGGCTTTGTATATCAGAGTGACACAGTCTGACCTCTGTAGTGTAAAAGTGCTACTCTGATCTGCATCCCTGAAAAAATAAAAACTACTGTGGTTCCTGAATTTGGAGATGAGACTGAAGGGGCAAAGGGCGGAAGACGGAGGAGAGAATGTGACTCTTGACCAAGATGGGGATGGTAGGGGCAGTAAGATGTGGTTGAACTTGGACTTACTTTAACTATGGAAGCAAAAGGGTGTATTGACTGATTGGCTGCGGGAAGTAAGCGAGTCCCAGCATTTTGGCTTAGCCACTGGATGGAAAGAATTGTCGTGAACTAAGATATGGATGACCAAGGAACAGGTTCAAGCAGGAGCTCAGTTTTGAGTCTTGGAGCACATGCCTGTAATCCCAACACTGGGGAGGCTGAAGCAGGAAGGTTGCCAAGAGTTGGAGACTATCCTGGGCTACGTAACGAGTTCAAGGCCAACCTGGACTACATAGTGAGACTGTCTTAAAAAACTAAAAACAGAAAAAGCAACAAAAGAAAAAAAAAAAAGGGGCTGGGGATTTAGCTCAGTGGTTCCACCACCTTTGTTACAAGCTCAAGGACGCGAGTTTGATCCCTGGTACCAAAAAAAAAAAAAAAAAAAAAAAAAAAA